CAGCGGAGGCTCCGCCTTCTTACACACACTCCTGGAAGGATTTGAAGCTCTTGCTTCCTTAACTTGTCGTCTTTGTTTACTTTGCATATTTAGGAATATTTTAAAAATTATGTGCTAGACATTATGAATACTGTGTAATTAACTGAGCTTCTGGATTTTACCGTTTTCTTTAAAGAGTCTTAAATATTGTTCCTACAGGAAATTAAATTATTGCAACCATTTCCAATTTGACTGGACATGTCTGATATTTTCTGTTAGCAGCAGTGGCGCTTGAGGCTAGCCTCGTCTCAGTATTGTTTAAATATTTTCTTTTTTGCGGTATTACCATATGTGTCATTCATTTTTGACATGATCAAATGACATGATCTGTCATTTGCTACTGTCCATTTTGTAACCTGATAAATATTTGGTAACTGAAATAAACCTTAGTTCAGATATTTATTTACAACAGGACAGCTGCAAGTCAATGGATTCGTGTCTAGAGAAAACACTGAAACAATCACAGTATTACCTAATATTAAGTGAGCACTGACTGTGAGCTTGGTATTGCTCTGAAGACAGAACTTACTGACTGCAAACAAACAGCCCACGAAGCTGGCTCTTCACTGACCCTGCTGACCTGAGGAGAAAACTGAAGTGAAAAAGTGAACTGACTCGCCTAAGGGCCTCAGCTAAGGAGCAACAGAACTAAAAGTTGAATGACTGGAATTGAGTTCCAAGGCCCCCACTCCAGTCCCACCAGGAGCTTGTTGGAACACACGCTTTAAAAATTGGCCGACCCTAAAGCTGAAGTATCTTTTTTCTAAGCTTTTAAACAATGTCTTTTGATTTATTTATTTTTTGTCTATGAGTGTACTGTGTGCATGTATGTAAGTGCACCTGTGTCATGCAATGCCCATGGAGGTCAGAAGGGTGTCAGATCCTCTGGAACTGGAGTTAGGGGCAGATGTTAGCCGCTATGTGGGTGTTGGGAACAGAACCCTAATCTTCTAAAAGAGCAACCAGTGCTCTTAACTGCTGAGCTGTCTCTCTAGACCCCAAAGCTTTTTTTTTTTTTTGACAGGTGGTGCTTACTTAAACATTCAAGATCAATAGACGAAGGGATGAGTTAGCTCTCCCTTCCCCAAATACCTTCAATACCTATATTAGCCTAAAATGTAAATAAGGAGAGTAAAACACGTATTTAAAAACTGACATTCATGTGGAGATGAAACACTTAAAAACCCTCAAATAACACTATAAATATTATACTGAGTTCTAGGCTAGAAATATTTTGAGACTAGTTCTATCATGCATGCACTTCCAAATGACCTTTTATCTGGATAGGCCTGCCTCCTCAATTCCCTTCTCATTCAGTGACACTCAAGAATTGAATGCTCTGGATCAATGGAAAACTACCGTGATGCTTGAGGAGAGTGTGAAACATGATCTTGGAGAAGTTTTAGGAGCATCACTCTAGACCTCTACTTTGTAATAACAACAAAACAAACCCAAAACATATGCCATCAGAGTCAAAGTCAAGATAAAGTCCTAGAGAACAATTTTATCCATTTAACTGAGAAACGCTGGCTCTATGAGTTATAGACTGCTGAAAGATCACATGTAGTTTATCACAGCACTTTGTTATATCTCCAGTGAATGATTTATTCTGAGTGACATCTCATAATTGTACTTTTACTCAAATAGAATTAAATTTATTATACATTAACACATACTTCAGTAGCAAGACATTGCTGTGCATCTGACACCACCACCAACTATTTGAAGATATATTAAAGAGGACGTGAAATTGATTCCAGTAAGTCTTGACTAAGTGGGTACTTCCATTGTTTAATGTGATGTTATTAATTTTTAAAATTGTTCTAGCTACTGAAGACTCAAGTTAAAAGTATAAATTGCTATAACTTAAAGGTTAAAGTGAAACTTCATAATTAAGAATAACATGGAAAATAAATTTGAAAGGTTAACACTCAAAGATAATTGGAACAGAAAGTAGCCTATATATAAATATTCATATTAGTATGGCTACAAGAATCTAACTTTACTGTCTATGGATAAGGATTTAGCTAAAGAATCCAGGAAAAGTGAACTGTTTGGCAACCATCTTCTTAATCAGGGTTGCAAATTTAATACCCAGTCCAGGCAGAGATGACTGAGTGAAGTGGGAAGGGTCTGAGTACCTGCCGAGCCTGGCCTTATCAGTCGAGAGGATTCAAATTCACAGGAGGGCATTTGACTCCCTTCAAAATGTGCAGCTGCAAGCTGGGCGTGGTGACACTTGCCTTTAATCCCAACACTTGGGAGGCAAAGGCAGGTGGATCTCTGTGATCTATATAGCAAGACCAGCCTGATCTATATAGCAAGTTCCAGGCTGGCTAGGGCTACAGGGAGATCTTGCCTAAAAAAAAATGCAGTTAACATTCAAGTTGGGCCTGTTTGCTATCGAACACAGCAGGCTTCATATTAACAATTTAAGGTGTTTCAAGAGGTCAAATATCAGGAATTTTGTATGAAATCGACTTGTGAATGTTAGCTGAAGTGCTTTTAGAATGCTCTTTGAGGTTTACCTTCAATATACTGCTAATGGGCAGAAAAAACTGAATGATTTGGCAAAAAAGCAGAAAATGAGGGCCAACACGAGGGGCTTTCAAGGACGACATCTCGGATGGTGAGGTATTCTTGGCTTCTTCGCTGCTCTGTACAGAAACTGCCCCTAAAGCATGACTCAGCTTTACTTCAACAGAGTCTCACTGACAAGAGATCTCACCTTCTGCTGCCTTATCTCTGTTAGACTGGAGGACAGTGAGAGAAAGGAGAGCGGCTGGACATTCCTGGACATTTGTGAAATCACCAAGCACACCACAAAACTTTAAATATAATCTGGCCAAGAAAAACTCATTATTTTATCTCTTAAGTCAAGAGGCACATTAAGACTTGCCAATTTGTTCGACAGATATGAGTACTTACTGTGAATCATGTACTAATAGAAACGGGAGCTAAAAGCTCAGTAAGAGCTGAAAGTCTAACTGAGAAGACAGACAGGTGAACAGATAAGTGAGGTATGGTGCAGAGAAGTGTCATGAGAACTGGGAGTGAATGTTGATGAGCTGTTCCCAAAACGTTGAATCCACAGAGGATGAATGCCAAGGGGTTTCCAGGAAGTAGCATGTAAACAACAAACAGCAGCTCTAACCTAACCCTGGTACTATACACGGGTACTGTTCTAAAAGCGTATGCTTATTAAAATATGTAAATTCAAACAACAACTATAGTATTTATACACTATGTACCAGGATAATTTCCCCATACCACAGAACTGACCACTTTCTTTTCCCAGTCCAAAAGCCTTTCTTTTTTTGTATGTGTTTCGTAGGGTTGGGGCTCAAACCCAGGACCTTGTGCACACAAGTCAAGCTCTCTTCTGCTGGCCTATATTCCAGGCCTCCAAAGCTTTAATGGGTTCCTTTTCTCCATCATAGTGGTTCCTGTGGGTGCATGTGCATGTGTGTGGAGGTCTAAAGTTGACATGCGGTGTCTTCCTTGATTGCTTCCTTGATTCCTATTTACTGAGGCATGGCCTCTGGTTAATCCCAGAGCTTGTCAGTTTTGACTCCAGCTAGGTAGTTTGCTGCGGGGATCCTGTGTCTACTTTCTGAGCTCTGGGATTACAGGTGGCTGCCATATCTGCCTGGTTTTTATGTGGTGTGATGGCTAATGTTGGTTGTCAATTTAACACTCCTGAAAAAAGGGCATTTCAGTTGAGGAATTTCTCCATCAGACTGGCTTGTAGGCATGTCTGCAGGCATTTCATTCACTGCTAATTGATGTAGGAGGGCCCAGCCCACTATGGGCAGTGTCATTCCTGGACAGGTAGCCTGGACTGTATACAAGAAAGGTAGCTGAGGAAGTCAGAGGAAGCAAGCCAGTTGGAAAGGAGGAAACGAAAAAGTAGTAAGAAAGGCATACTAACGAGTTCATATACAAAGCAAACTTCATGTGAGTTCTCTGAATACGCTCTTAAGATATAACACATTGAAAATAAAAGTAATAGAAAGATTTTTTTTCAAAATGAACCTAGCCAAAAAAGGTGAGTCCATTCAAAGGAAATATTAAGTGCATACTAGAACAGGCAGTACGCACATGGCATTGAGAACAGTACCATTAAGTCAAAATGACTAAACTTTGCCAAAGCAGCCCTGTGGTGGTTTGAATGAGAATGTTCCCCACAGGCTCCAAGTACTTGAACACTTGGGTAGTTGGTGGTACTGTCTGGGGAGGTCATGGAACCTTCAGATGGTGTGGCTTTGCTGAAGGACATGCATCAACTGGGGCAGGCCTTGAAAGCTCTTAAGCCTTGCCCTTAAGCCTTTCCAGTTTTACTCTCTCTGCTTCCTGTGCCGGCTTGAAGATGTGAGTGCCCAGCTTCCTCGTCATGTGGCCTCCTGCCATGCCTCCCCACCACGAGGAACTCTTATCCTGCTGGTACAGTAAGCCCAACAAACACAAGCCCCTTCCAAGGTCACATGCCAGGCCAAGCCTCTCAACCTGTATCAGGCTGTTTAAATTTGTCAACAGTGATTACTAGTATGTGTTCCTGACAACTGCACCACTTTCCAGTCTCCAAGCTTCTGCCCATGTTGTCCCTTCTGGTTGGGATGCCAGGATTCCCTTATCTCCCTGTTTACAGCCCTTCCAAGTCCACACTGTTGCTGTCTCCTGTGTGAAGCCTTTCCTTGTAAGGCAAGTGGATGGATTCTCTCTTTCCCAGTCCTCACAGCACGTCTCTCCACTGTGCTTCCTTCACGGTTTTGGTGACATTGACTTTACATAATATTCTTTTACCTAGTAGATTTTAAGGGGGCAGAGAGGAAGGACACAGAGTTTTATTCATATTTAATACCACTGTGGTACTTAACAAAGGCCTCATATGCAGAAGGCCCATAACTAATATCTAGTAAATTGAGTTTAATAAAATTATAGGTAAGTCATATGATACTTACAACTTTACGCTTGATCATGAAGAGTGGGATTTTTGCATGAAGAGGGGTTGAAGACAGTTCCTTATGGACTGTTGATAAATATAATCTTCTTTTGATGTTTCCTAAATCAGTAATTCTAGAAAAAAAGAAACAGGAAAGAAGAAAGAGTCCCATGAATTTAATATCCACTTCTTTGGATAACCATCAAAATGATATAATTTATCAAATAGGTCCTTTCCAAAAGGGAGTTTGAATACAGAATTTAAGAATTGCCATTTTCTTTCAAAAAGCAGTAAAATTTCTTCCTTAAACTCAAAGTGCTCATAGGCCTGGATGTATAAATTCACTTAATATGCTAATTTATTTCAGTACTCTGTACTAGATTTCCAGTCCTCCAGCCTATGAAAAAATTCAATTTGTATGAACTGAGAAACTGCTAGCCTTTAATAACCATGCTTGTTCCAGCCCCTTAAGCTCGTGTTATCTTGGGACATACTGTCACCTACTAAATAGGAAAACATTATGGGTTTCTTTTCCTAAAAATGCACCTGTCATTTTATATAGGCTCTTGGTCTGCTTAGAGACAGACACAAAGCACCAACTGTCGGTTTCACTTCCTAAGCACATATCTTCCAACTAGAATTTTAATACACAAGTTTATTGCTCAGTATTCAAGTCACCACATAGTGATACCAAGGACACTGAATCTGAACATCTTTAATGGATTTAGACCACAGCCATGATCACAAAGATTAGGTTTGCTTCAAACTGACAGAGGCTCATTTTATGTTCTGCTTCCTTTAGGTCTCAAAGGTAACACAGCAGGCTAAAAATCTACAAATCTGTCTGGTTGCTGTGTCATGGAATTGATGCTTTCTTCAAACCCTTCTTTTTATGTGAGAATAAGTGACTCCCTGCCTTTAACGACTTCTTTTTCTCTGCTACATTGCTTATTTTCTATAATTATCAATCACTCAAGGAGGAATTTCATTCAAATACATCATTACTAATCTCTATAGTATAATTATTTTTAAGAAGCAACACAGTCTTTTCTATAGCTCTTGGATGCTGTCCCCTCCCTGGTTTTCTAATTTCATTATTGTTTCCCTGTAAAATAATCTAAACATCTTGTTGTGGAGAAATATCATTTACAGTAAAAGTATACTCCAGGCAAAAACTCTACTCTTTGGGCCGGAGAAATGGCTCAGCAGATAAGAGCACTGGCTGCTCTTGAGGAGGACCCAGGTTCAATTCCCAGCACCCAAATGGCAGCTAACAGCCGTTCATAATTCCAGTTCCAGGGGAATCTGATGCCCTCTTCTGACCTCTGTGGGCACTGCAGGATACGGATGCACTTACTTACATGCAGGCAATATGCTTATATAATAATAATTAAACTATTAAAAAAACCCTAATCTTCTTGCTCTAAATGATATCATTAACTCATTTAAAAAGGAGGAAAAGTTTTCATGCCATTATCAGAGCTAAGGTTTAAAATCCAACTGTACTTACACTATTGCAGTATTTCACGTAGATACTAAATGCAGTATCTCACTTACCTCAAGGCAGTGCCTTCAAAGTGCAATAAGCACACGAGGAAGAAGGCAACACATGGAAAACAAATATTAGAACTTATATTTCATCCTTATATTTCATGCTGTTTGTGTGCACATTTCATTATGTAGTGAGCAACATATGTATGTGTTTTAAAAATAAGTGCAGCAGTAAGGTATGAGTAAACCTTACTAAGGGCATATAGGATTTTGACGATAAATCGTCAGTGAAATCTATCAAATCACCTGGTATACTGAGACACCCCTGGGTGTGTGTGAGGACATTTCCAGGGAGGACAGGCTGAGGAATGTGGGTAACAAAAGTTCCTGGGCTGGAGCTCAGACTCAGTAAAAGGTGAACCAAGAAATCCAGCAGAGTGTTAGGAACCCCTTCTCTGCTTCCTGGCCCCGCACGATGTGAACCGAGCTGCTCTGCCATGCCTTCTTCACCAGGATAGATTGAACCTTCTGAAACCATGAGCTAAAACAAGTATACCTTCCCGAAGTTGTTTCTGCTAGGTATTTTGTCAGTAAAAGAGCTGATAAAAGATCAAATATGTTTAGATCAAAATATTACCACCAGGGATGCTATTAAGTGTCTTTTTAAATAAGTTGTGCTGAGGGAGTAGTAGACAGAGACTATAAAAAATCTAGAAAGAAAAAGGAAGAAAAGAAGGGGATGTACTAACCAAAACCTCCTTTGTGACCCAGGTTAAAGGTGGATTCTACCTGGGGATTGGGGAGGAAGGGTAGTAAAGAGAGAGAGGGAGGAAGGAGATAACACTGAAAAAGCCATAGGAAACATATAAGGGTCCTTAAAAATCCATACATAGTATATATGTATGCTAATATAGACTATAACTCTTTGTGCCTGATTCTTCTACTTCATATGATGTTTTCAAAAACCATCCATGTTGTATCAGTTATCAATAGTTCTTTATTTGATTATGTGTTTTGCTCAGATCCAGGCCCCAGTTCCTCCCCTTCAATTACTCCCCTATTTTAGTTTTCATGCAGTTTGATATATTTTCTAGTGTCTCTTTTGATTTCCTCTTCAAATCTATTTTATTTATCATTTTCATTTTATGTGTATGAGTGTATTGCTTGTATGTAAGTAAGTGCACCCATGTCATGCAATGCCCAAGGAGGTCAGAAGAGGGTTAGCTGAGAATTGAGCTCAAGTCCTCTGTAAGAGCAGCCAGTACTTTTAACTGCTGAACTCTCTCTAGCCCCTAGAAGTATAGCTTTTAAAGGCCAAACATTAAGGTATTTTCATATATTGTAGTTAATGATTTTCAAATTAATTATATCATGGTCAGAGAGCATATTTTTAAAAGTATTTTATTTATTATTTTTATTTTATGTGCATGAGTATATTGCCTGCATGTAGGTAAGTGCACCCGTGTCATGCAATGCCCGTGGAGGACAGAAGAGGCCGTCGAATCCCCTGGAACTGGAGGTACGGACAGTTGTTAGCTGCCATGTGGGTGCTGGGATTCGAACCTGGGTCTTCAGCAAGAACAACCAGTGTTCTTAACCACAGAGTGCATATTATATCATTTCTTTTCTAAAACTTAATAATGCTTGGGCCTGTGAGATGACTAGGCAGGTAAAGGTGCTGGCCACTAACCCTGATGGCCTGAGTTTCATCCCCCAGAAGCCATATGGTGGAAGGAGAGAACTGATTCTACAAGCTGCCCTCTGACCTCCATAAGTGTGCTGTGGCACATTTGCCCAAATGTTCATGACTATGCAGAAACATCCACACAAAATAAATAAACATTTTACAATTTTAGTTAGACTTTGACTTCTTTAGAACTCCTTCCTATTCCATTCTGGATTCAGTCTTCCAACAGGACACAAATCTGTCTTCAAACAATGACCCTACCTAAAGCCTTCTAAAGGCTCCTAAAAGGAAGGTCTCCAAGCCAGAAAGACCAAAGTAAAATCTGCCAGAATAATATAATTTAGCTGAAGAAAAAAACCTTTCAAGTATCAAACGTTGTTTACTCAGCATGAAATAAGAATTATGTACTTAGAGTTTTGTACCTGATTATGGAATTTCACCAAGGGCAAGATGCTATTTGAAATATTTATTGGTCACTGAATTATTTTCTATGTCAATACTGTATGAAGCATTCTATATGCCTTAACTTATTTAATCCTACCACAGTGCTACAAGATATCTAGTATTATTATCATTTCTATCTTATAGATAAGAAAATTAATGCCTAATAAAGTTTGGTGACTTTCCCAAAATTCACACATCTAGTACAGCCCATATTTAAAATCAGATTTAATGTATTCCAGTATACATTTTCTAACACTACATCTCCTTTTTGGCATGAGTGGTACTTATAAGCAATCCATAGCATGATGATCTTTTGCTCTTGGGAACAAAATATTTAATATCGATAGTTAAGACTTCCGTTCTACTCTAGTATGTGCTTCCCTGGACACTTTGTGTGTGAATATGGTTATCTTTTTTATTTTTAACTTTTTATTTACATGTGTAGACAAGTCTCTGATGGGAAGTTTTGAGATACCAAGAAGACTTCGATAGGGGAATTGTTACAGTCATAGTTCTAAACAGGAAAGAATGGGACTAGAGGAGGAGCATTAAGTCTCTACCATGTGCCAGAACCTGCCTACCACTTCCACAAAGTTATCTCATTTACATTACTATGGGCAGTTATAGAAAAGCAGAGTCATTAGGCCAAAGCTGCCTGTAAAGATGATGTCCTTCTGACAAATACACAATGGTATTTGTTAAAGGAAAAATCTTGATGGAGTACTTTTGTACAGTGTACAATGATCTGTGTAGAACTGCTATGGTTAACAAACTGGAATCCATGAGGCTATGGGGAATGGCTCTGTGGAAAATATCACACAAGCATAAATATATAAAATGGTCCAAACAGCTCTCTTTGGTAAGAGACACTCTCTTAGGTATTACTTGGAGAACATACATGTTAAATTGGAGTTAAATAGCTTTGAAGCTTTAGGTATGTGTGCTTAAACTGGAAAATCCAGAGAGGTCAAGAAACTACTAGGAGTCATGGTGGGGAGTAGAAGTGGCACTTGGAGGGGAGATAGAGTACGGTGATATAAAGAAGAGAGCGGTATAATGGGCTAGGAAGGGTTGGGGTGAGGAGTAGAGGGCATGGTAAAGGAGAGGAGTGATAACTGACACTAAAAGCCTTTTGAAAAGGTCATATGGAAACCTACTACGATAGAAGCTTCTTTTAATATATAGATATACATAAAGAGTTTAAATGGAGGTTCCCTATAACAGGGGGACAATGCCCCTATCAGACAATGTAGGCTAGCAAATTAAAAACCATGAATGACTCCCTCCTTTGGAGCTGTTAACCAAGGAGGTCAACAGACCCTCAAACAATACTGGTTACTGCCACTGCTCTTTGTTTCCCTACAGAACTTGACGGTAAGATCATACTGGCGAGATACTACATATGTCCATCAGAAAGAACATGGAGAACTCAAGCTGGTACTGACCTCAAAGCTTTATCTCTACTGCCTAGCTTTCATAGTGCCGGACGGTGCATGTATGCTACCAGAGGAG